ATTCTATACATTAAAAAGAAGAGAATGGTGCCCTGATACAAGTCTGTTCTTTGATTATTTCAACATACAGTGTTTTTTTCCCATAGGTGTCTCTTCAAATTTCTCTGAAATATCTGTTGGGAAGGATTTATAGCAGTGTTTCTCAACCTGGGGGTCGGGACCCCTGGAAGGGTCGCAAGGGGGTGTCAGAGGGGTCACCAAAGACCATCAGAAAACACAGTATTTTCTGTTGGTCATGGAGGTTCTGTGTGGGAAGTTTGGCCCAATTCTATCATTGGTGGGGTTTAGAATGCTCTTTGATTGTAGGTAAAGGTAAAGGTAGTCCCCTGACATTAAATCCAGTCATGTCTGACTCTGGGGTGTGGTGCTCATCTCCATTTCTAAGCCGAAGAGCCAGCGTTGTCCGTAGACACCTCCAAGGTCATGTGGCGGCATGACTGCATGGAGCGCCGTTACCTTCCCGCCGGAGCGGTACCTATTGATCTACTCACATTTGCATGTTTTCGAACTGCTAGGTTGGCAGAAGCTAGGGCTGACAGCGGAAGCTCACGCCGCTCCCCGGAATCGAACCTGCGACCTTTCCATCAACAAGCTCAGCAGCTCAGTGCTTTAACCCACTGAGCACAGAATGCTCTTTGATTGTAGGTGAACTATAAATCCCAGCAACTACAACTCCCAAATGTCAAGGTCTATTTTCCCCAAACTCCACCACTGTTCACATTTGGGCATATTGAGTATTCGTGCCAAGTTTGGTCCAGATCCATCATTGTTTGAGTCCACAGTGCTCTCTGGATGTAGGGGAACTACAACTCCAAAACTCAAGGTCAATGCCCACCAAACCCTTCCAGTATTTTCTGTTGGTCATGGGAGTTCTGTGTGCCAAGTTTGGTTCAATTCCATCATTGGTGGAGTTCAGAGTGCTCTTTGATTGTAGATTAACTATAAATCCCAACAACTACAACTCCTACAGAACAAAATCAATACCCTCCCCCAATCCCACCAGTATTTAAATTTGAGTGTATTGGGTCTTTGTGCCAAATTTGGTCCAGTGTATGAAAATACACCCTGCATATCAGATATTTACATTACTATTCATAACAGCAGCAAAATGACAGTTATGAAGTAGCAATGAAACTAATGTTATGGTTGGGGGTCACCACAACACGAGGAAGCATATTAAGGGGTCATGGCATTCGGAAGGTTGAGAACCACTGATTTATAGGATAGTTTTTGATCAGAAACAGTTCTCTAGCTAAGTAGCTCCAATGAAAATTGACAGGAGCACTGAACAAGATTGTATGTTGAGAGGGAGGGGGCTGCTTAAAGAAAATGCAAATAAAAATACAGCTATGTTATGATATCTTTAATCTCAGCATGAGAAATAATGTAAGTGATCTCAGAAGCTGATAAACAATTCACTGAATAATTTAAGGCAGAATCATATTCATTAGAGTACAGTAAACGGTAACTAATCTGATATGTAATATGGTCTGATAGTATGAAAAAGCCATGTATGGGAGATGATGTACTATAGGCTATAAGAAAATAGCTTCACGGCCTGAGAGAGTAAAAGTGTTTGTTTCATTTTCACTCTAAACCCGCTATAGCTTTGAGGACATTCTGTAGGGCCTTAACCAACTATTATGATTTTCCATAGTAAATGAAACTAAAACACAAGAAGGAAAATACCAGAGATCCATATCCATGTGCGAGCCTAATGTTTCCCAGCATTAATGCTCTTCTGGCATTTACACTGAATTTTATGGTCTCTTCTGTTGGGATTATGTCAAGGCTGATTTTAAAAAGCAAAATTGGACATTGCCCCTTAATTATATTCTGAAAAGGCTAGGATAACTATAAATTTTACTCCTTGAAAACATCAGAAAACATGCATTTGTCAGGACTTAATACCAGCAATAAGCAGAGACAACTTGATTGGGAAGTCTTTGACCACAGTCTTTGGCACTGGGTTCCTTTCAGAAGATTGGAGTATTAGAAACCACAGTGAATGTGACATAGGCAGTGAGGCTTCAAATGCCTCTGCATTTTAGTTAGCCAGTAAAAGTATCACTGTTGTGGATTTTAGTGAATATTAAAGAATCACTTTTGCCTCAGATTATTCCACAAAATCACTATTGATGAGATCATGTGAAATGTTAATGACACCATTATCACTATACGATGGTTACAACAGGAAAGTCTGACTTGAATTGCAACTTTGTCCATTCAGGTGTTTAGATCTACAGATAAATGTGTCTGCTGGCTTGGATGGGAAAGTGAGATGAATAGCAACACACAGTGGACAACTGTAGCAGCTCCTTCTTCCATGATCTAGCAACCAGTTCTTCATTTTTTTAAATGGAAACTGAATGTTCAATTCTGACCAATTATCTTAGCCACGATTACATATTTTAAGAAGAAGTGAAAAACAGTGCTGACAACATATAGCACATACCTCTAAGACTATGTTATACACTTTAAATCACACTCAAGAATGTGTAAGTGCCATGAGATGGGACATGTGGTACAAGGTGAGGCAGCATAACTTCCTTTTTTAAAATGCGCGCCATTCAGTCGGTTGAAGACGTAGTGGTCTCGTTCGAGAGGCGGGAGTATAAAGTTTTGTCCTGACACTGTTCAGTCGCCATCATGTGTTGGAACAGTGAGGAGCGTGCTTTTGCCGTTGAGGCCTACTTTTCGAGTGGATTTGGAGTGGCCGATCCACTCTCCAGATTTGGCCCCTTGTGATTTTTATCTATGGGTTTTTTTTGAAATCCCGTGTTTATGTGAACCGTCCAAAGACCCTACAAGATTTGAAGACCAACATCTAGGAAGAAATTGCCAACATAACGCCTGCTATGCAGGCAAGAGTCATGACAAGAAATCGGTTTACTCAGTGTATGGAGAATGGGGGATGTCATGTACCTAATTTGATCTTCAAAACTACGTAAAACAAAACTTTAGGTATGCAACTACATTATATATAAAAAATTCTGATTCATACAATGGATTCTATTAAGTTTTGAAGAAAGGAAGTTATGCTGCCTCATCCTGTACTACTAATACTAATACAGAGTTTCTTAATCACTGGGTTTACACTAGATTCCTAACATTAGGGGAAGCACATTGTAGTTATCTAGATGTTGTCAACATGCAACTCCAGCATAACCAATCATGAGGGATGATGAGATTTTTCTCTGGAATGCCCTAAGTTGCTTATCCCAACCCTACATGGGCAGATACCTCTAACAGCAAGTCTAGACAGGCAAGAAACCTGGACTCACCTCAAATTCACATCTGACTGTTTCCAGAATTCTTACCAGCTTCCAGTGAGTAATGTAGGTTTTACAGGACTGAATCAGCTTCACCTTGCTTCGAGCAAAGATAGGGGATACTTCGGAGTTCAATGAAAACTCCAAAGTATCTTGAAGCTACAAGGCAGTCTGGTTAGCTTGGGCCAATTCTGACCAGTCCACTGTCCAGTTGGCTTAACTCTAGTCACATTAGAAGTTGTTGGTGTTGTTGAAGAAACCTAGACATTTTGCATCATACAAAGTTTTTATTTAGGGGTCCTGTGAAACCCAGGTCTCAATGTTATATTGTTCAGTACAGTCTCCTACAATCACAATATAACTCAGAATTACTCTAAGACAGTGGTTCTCAACCTGGGGTCCCCAGATGTTTTGTTGGCCTACAACTCCCAGAAATCCCAGCCAGTTTACCAGCAGTTAGGATTTCTGGGAGTTGAAGGCCAAAAACATCTGGGGACCCCAGGTTGAGAACCACTGCTCTAAGGGATGGATATGCAATTTGTGAGACTATACAGCAAGTGCATATGCTACAAAACTATCACACGTGACAGTCTTCATGCATATTTAATGCCTACAAAAAAGAGCCTTCCATGTATAAATTTTGAAATATAGCTCTTCATTCCAAAAGTGTTCAGCAGTATCAGCAGTATCAATGTAGACTGTATTCCTTCTATATAAATATACAGTCAAATATCATCTGTCACTTTCAATGTAAGTTGACGGGCAACCAACAACAAAATCCATTTCTAAAATTACTGGTGTGATGGATTCAGGAATAGGTTTCAGAAATAGGAATATAAATGGAAGAGTTACGAGATTCAACATAAATACAAGCCAGCCTGCAACAACATAATGGAACTTTGGCAAGACGAAATCATAAGACATATCACAAACGCAAGACCTTGCTTACAAGAATAAACCAAAGGCAAATATGTATAAGCAAGAAAGTCACAATTGCAGTCCATGTTTATCTGCTTCGGGCAGCCATTATTAAACTTGATTCATGAAACTACGCAATCGTGACATCTGAGAAACGGATCAATATTTTAGCTTCAGAATGACAGAATATTGGAAAATGGATGAAGACATCACTCTAGTAGCAAAAGCAGTCCTGTGTGCTCATACTGCATTATTATGATAAGAAACAATCCAAATAAACTTGGGTTAGAATGGGGAGAGTTTTCCCCCCTTTTTTCATTTTCAAGTAAACCCAACACAGATGTTGAATTCATATCATTGGGAACAACTCCTTTACCGTGATCATCTGCAGATCTCTGATGAAACATATGCCAATCACAGAATCATCCAAATAAATTGCTCATTAAAATTGAACACTAGCCTCACCATCTTAATGCATTTCTATCCCCTTATTCTAATTAGGGGAGTCACATGCACACTGGGCCATTGAGTCTGTCACACAAAGAAATCCCATTGCAAAGCAATGGGAATTGCTTGTATGACATCTTCCCAAGGACAAAGCATGCTCACTACAATTATGCTGATTTGTCATATTTTTCCCCTCTTGTGAAGCCAACAGCATTTGCATTTTAGTGATTTAAGCAAGTGTAGTACGACTTAAAGAAATAGAAATCTAATGTTTAAAGGTGTTCAAAATTAATGCTGGTTTAGAGCGCTAAGTGTTTGTTATCAATAAAGAGAAGGCCAAAGTGTTTGCTGCTAGTTGCCTACCTTGCTCTCCTCAGGGCATCTTCGTCTGGATCTTGCACTGTAGGTGAAAAATTGACTTCATCAGAGAGAAAAAAATAATCAAGGAATTTTAGTGGAACTCACAGTCTAATTACAAAGGGAGGGGAGAAGGTACTTTAGTTTGTCTTGGGACAAACTAGGTATTATATATGAGGTTTATGGCTGGATTTCTCATGTCTTTTTCTTTCATATCAAGAAATGTTCCTTGCCCACTTTCATAACCCAGTTCCTCCCGAGATTTCTGCCAGTGTAGAAGAGCCCTTAGACTCAGCAGTCAGCATCTGTCTGAAATGTTATTGATTTCATACATTATTCTTTCCTTGATCCTTTTAAGTCTTGCTTGACATTTGTATCCAGACAGAAACAGCCTTAGCAGCATTGTCTGGTGACTTCCAGTCATGAGAATATCATCTGACCAATCTTTTTGTTATCAAAAGTTGTTATTATGCACCATGCAATTTTCCTGGACCACTTGGAGCATCAGATCATAGGCTCAGGTTTTTCGTTTAGTGATTTTGTTCCATTTTGGACGATCAGATGGTGGCAGCTATTGACATTGTTAGCCCCAATGGCAGCTTGTAAGTGTCATTCTGCAGCTATTATATGCACTGGCTAATTTTTATGAAACCACTGGTAGAAACTATTTGAGGTTTTGATGTTGTGTGCCTTAAGAGGGAAGATAATTCAGAGATGCTCAAAGATGCTAAGGGGCATATATAAATGCTCTCCTTGTCCTGTAGTCACCCTCTCATCTAAAAATGACCTTCTGGAGCAGGGGTCCTCAAACTTTTTAAACAGAGGGCCAGGTCACAGTCCCTCAAACTGTTGGAGGGCTGGATTATAATTTGAAAAAAACATGAATGAACACTGCACATATCTCATTTGTAGTGTAATAAACACTTAAAAACAATACAATAATTAAAATGAAGAACAATTTCAACAAATATAAACTTATTAATATTTCAATGGGAAGTGTGGGCCTACTTTTGGCAGATGAGATAGGATTGTTGACGTTGTTGTGTACTTTCAAGTCGTTTCAGACTTAGGTTGATCCTGAGCGAGGGCTGGGTAAATGACCTTGGAGGGCTGAATCTGGCCCCCGGGCCATAGTTTGAGGACCCCTGTTCTGGAGGATCGTAATACTTCTGAACAAGACAACATGCTAAGGAATCCTGCAGGAGATGAATCATTCCCAATAAGGAAACCTTTGATTGATTTGAGATTTTCCTCTCCCTGGCTTCTTGAGTCAGCATATAATATTCTTGGACAAATGCTACAGATCCAAGGACAGTGGCAACCTTGCTCTCCTCAGGGTATCTTCGTCACCACTACCAAAGCTTTGCATTGTTTTCATTCAAAAATATAAAGTGTCCAATTCTTATAGCAGCAGAGATATGTCAGTTTCATTTTTTTTTCCATTTGGAGTTTTTCCCCGCTCCACACAGAGATATAAGATTTCCCAGCCTGAATATGGACAGATACAGTTTACTGTCAGAAAATGGACCTGTGGTGTTTTCCACGGAGGAAAAGAAAAATGTGCAAAGAAATGGCACAAATTTCTATAATCCACATAAAAATGCTTTTGTTAATATGGGTGGGTTCATTACTTCATTGGGAAACATATATTCAATGTTTAGTCCCAACAGAAGCAGACCCATTGGATTGGCTAATCTACATTTAGGCAAGTTTCACTGTTTTGATGGAGCTATTCTAATTTCGTGCAAATGGCCATTGGGATTCCTATTTTTTTTTTACATTTTTAAAAATACTCTATAAAATCATCATGGAATGGACAGTGGTACAGAAAGAAGAAAAAAAGCTGAGGAAACAAACTGGTAAATCTAGCCACCCAAAGATAGGAATGCCAGGGCCATTTTAATCAGTAAAATATTTAATATATTTTATGTTGTAAAAATGTTATTTACTGTTTCAAACTGATTTTGTTGTAAGCTCCCCCCTCCTTTTTTTTTTTTTTTTTTGCTATAGGGCAGGATAAACATATAATATGGATTTTATAGATGTGGCCCCAGTAATCTCCCTCAGGAACTAAAGAATTGTTCTTCTTTGCAAATGAACTCATTTCCACCTTTCTTTCCCTCACTGGTTTCTACCAATTTCTTCCTCCTAATTTCCAAATGCAGCTCTAGCAATTTACTAATTTATTCTGCTTTTTTAATGATAGCTTAATTTAATGTTTTGATATATGTCCCTTATAAACAAACAACATCAATTCCTTCGTTCATCTAAAAAAATCCACATTTAACAACATTATCTGAAAAGTAATATTGGAGACATCTAATCCAGGTCAATCTTTACTTAAATCCTTCTGCACTGTAGATAAATAAGGCCCCTTAGCTAATATCCTGAGGCTCCATCATAAGAGAAATCATTGTTATCATTATCAGTATCACCATCAACCACTATCATTATCATCATGAACTTCTACTTAGAAGTCTCTAGTTAGGGACCATTTCATGTCACACCAGGTCAATGAACCAACAAGATAAGCTATGAATTTGCTAGGTCATTATTTTAAATGGCCTGCAATCATGCTAGAGAGCAACAGAAAGAGTCAACATGGTGTAGTAGTTTGAACATTGGACTACAACTCTGGAGAACAGGATTTGAATCTTCATTTGGCCATGGAAAACCAGTCGGTGATCTTCAGCAAGCCACACCCTTTCAACTTCAGAAGCCAAGGAACGAATCTTGCCAGGAAAAATATGGAGTAGTCAGAAGTCAGAAATGACTTGAAAGTACTCAATAACAACCCAACATTCCATGATTTTTTTTATTTATTTACAGTATTTATATACCGCTTTTCTCACCCCTGGGGGGAATCAAAGCGGTTTGGTTCCAGTAAGATTACAAGATTTCCCTTATGATGGAGACTGACAGCCTTATCACATGAGTGTCCATGCTTCCGGTAATTGTGTTACCCATAAAAATGATATTCCAGTGGGACGACCACAACAGAAAAGTGACTACATCATGTGGTAAGCCACACCTGAAGGCATTATTATTGTACTGCAGTTCCACTTTACCTTCCTTTGTGTGATTAGCTTTTGACAGGTATTAGCTATAGAAGAAAGGCAGAATTCCACTAAAGATGTGAACGGGAGCTTCCCAGTGGACTTACTGTACTCAGTTCCTGTCATCTGAGCCAGGATACGGAAGGATTTGGACTGCAAGTGGGAGGAACGGCGGCTCCAATCATCAAGCTCCTCTTCAGGCTTGTTCTGTGTTTTAAGTACAGCCTGATACACTGGAGAGGCACTGTCTACATGAGGATCTTTAACAGGGAGGCTACTGCAATGCAGAAAGAGGTGCACTGTAAAACGACAAATGCTGATTTTGCATTTCCTTCCCGTAATACCCCTTCTGATCTTTGTCTTCATAGTCCCAATTTTTGTTTAACCTCCGTAAAATAGGAAAATATTTGGGTTGTTGTAGGTTTTTTTCGGGCTATGGTCTAGAGGCATTCTCTGCTGACATTTTGCCTGCATCTATGGCAAGCATCCTCAGAGGTAGTGAGGATGCTTGCCATAGATGCAGGTGAAACGTCAAGAGAGAATGCTTCTAGACCATGGCCATATACCCCGAAAAAACCTACAACAATCCAGTGATTCCGGCCATGAAAGCCTTCGACAATACAGGAAAATATTTGTTCAATATTTGTTCAATATTTGCCATTTTAAGAGAGAAATAATTAGACCTTTCCCCTGTTATTGTAAGGAGAAGTGTGGCATTTATGTTACTATTAGCATTGTCATCATTACCATCTTCTAGCATTGGGAGTGATCTCCAAAGGGAATATTTTGTGCTACACCAGGTCAATGTACCATTAAGATAGGCAATAAATTCATCAGGTCATCTCTTAGATCAGTGGTTCTCAACCTGGGGTCCCCAGATGTTTTTGGCCTTCAACTCCCAGAAATCCTCACAGCTAGTAAACTGGCAGGGATTTCTGGGAGTTGTAGGCCAAAAACATCTAGGGACCCCAGGTTGAGAACCACTGTCTTAGATGATCTGCAATTATGTTATTCAGCAATGTAATTAGTAGTGCAGATAAAGTATATAAAAAAGAAAGATCAACAGATGATAATTCATGGTTACCATGTATTAGTTGTAACAATTCCCTTTGTTGCGGGAAGCAGAACTATGGTCCAGAAGGAACCACAATTAGGCATCTTTATTAGAGTTTAATGTTTGATTGTGTTATGCTTTTATTTGATTGATTTTAATGCTGTTTTATCTGTAACGTGGGCTTGCCCCCCTTGTGAGCCGCCCCGAGTTGCCCTTCGGCGAGATGGTGGCGGGATATATAAATTATATTATTTATTATAAGTAGCCACTACAATGGTATGGCAGAGGAGACTTGTTTCAATGTGATCTTTGGTCTAAATCCAGTTGCTAGGTCCAAACAGAGTTGACCTATTTAGCCAACGGAAGCTAGTATTATTGACTCACCAAATTCCCATTTGGACCAGCAATTGAAATTAGGTCACATATTGACCTTGTTGCAATTTGATTCCATAGCCCTCGCTGTTTCCTTTTTCCTAACATACATTATATGAGCTTCATTCTTGAAGTATGATTACACTTTGTCTATAATAAACCTATTTACATCGAAAAATTGATAATACGAGGGGTATTTTTTAAGTAAGGTCCGTTTTGTTGTAGACACTAGTAGTTAGCGCGCATACTGCAACGAGCGCGTGCGTCATGTACCGGCATGCCTCAGGAACAACTGTGCTCAGTTTCCGCTCTGTAGCTAACTTGTACGGTTCTGCTCTGTGCTTTAAAAATGTTTAAGACTATCAACTCACCCTCCGCAAAACGGACCTTACTTAAAAAATACCCCTCGTATTTACATGTGGGAGTAATAAACATTCCTGTGTCTAATATTAGAACCCATTGCTGCAACATAATTGCCTCCTCCATATCATTGCGGATTCAATTGCAAGATCTTCAATGGTTGTTGTGCAACTAAAACAAAGTCAACATTACAAAGTTGGGCCTTTTCAGTGGTGACACCCACTTACAAAACCCTGTGAAAATTCAAGAGACAGAAACTGTGTTGAGTTCTAAATACTTCTTTAAAGCATATAATAATTTATACAGGCCTTATCTCCCTTGTAAACAAATATTTTCCTTATCCTATTATGGCCATTGGTCTATGTATATTTTTTAAATGTATTTGTAAAATTAGTTTTAAATATTCTTGGGATGCATTATAATGCTTCAACTGTATGCAGTTAGACATGTTATTATATTAAGCAATATATCAGTACCAACAATTAACGAATAAATACACTTTAAAAATTTGTGAAAAAAGTTACCAACAACCACTCGGAGAATAAGAACTCAAGATTGCAATCTATGCATTGTTCAGTAAGCCATGTGCTAGAACAGGCAAGGAATATCATGGTCTTACTGATGTTGGACTCCCAATTCCTACTACACCCAGCCAGAACATCTAATGGGAAAATTGGATGGCATGAATAGTCCAATATCTGGTTCTCTATCTTGTGCAAAAGTCCATTCAGTTCCATATTATTTGTCCAAAAGTGGTCAGATAGATGTCTCTGGAAGTTCATATCTGGACTATGAATGTAGTAGCCTTCACCCAGTCACTTACCCCCAGCATCTCCTTGTCTGAGAGTAACCTGGTCCTGAGCATTGACGATTTGCATATAGTTTGCATAACCAATAGCAATTGATGGATCTCTACTCCATAAATTTATCCAATCCCCATTAAAAGCTATTAGGGTGTGTATACACAGTTGTTTTTTAAACATATCCAAGATAAAAGTCATTAACTTGGGTTAGTGAATATTCTACCAATTTATATGAGGATTTACTTTATTTTTTCTGTCCTATCTGCTGTTCCCAAAGGTAGAATATCAACCTAATAAATAGTTTGAGAATTTGTGTATTCATGTCAACTGTATCATTTAACACTTAATACTTTTATTAAACCAGAAATGTAATATCGGAAATAAGATTTTTTTATTGGAGTGACAACAGAAAAAGACTGCCATAATGTCTTTAGCTATCAATTCAAAATAGAAAAGGAAAATGCCTTTAGTATCTCAGTATACCTTAACTTTTGATATATTATTGTAATGATTTGGATATCAGATAGGAGGAACAGAAGGACATGTATGACTGTGATACAACAGTATTTTTCCTATCCTGCAGAAAGCTTTGTTATCAGTACTTCCAATATCAGAAATGCCCATCTTGCCTATTAGTGACTATAAAAGACTCAAACTGGCTTTTGAAATATGAGATTATGACTTGCAGAAATCCAACTAAATCTAAATAGTCCCCAAACAGTAGATTTACTGAATCATAAATATATTCATTCTCTAGACCAGTGGTCTTCAACATGTGGGTCCCCAGGTATTTTTGCCTACAACTCTCAGAAATTCCAGCCAGTTTACCAGCTGTTAGGATTTCTGGGAGTCAAAAGCCAAAACATCTGGGGACCCACAGGTTGAAAACCACGGCCCTAGATCCCCCCTAATCAGGGCTAGCACTTGGATTTAAGTCTTTAGTTCCATAAAATCAACATATTGTGAGGCAGCCTTTCATATATGAAGACTTAATATCTTTGGTTTAGTCTTTGTAGTTCAAAAGAATTCAACACAATTCAAATATGGGTTGTTGTAGGTTTTTCCGGGCTATATGGCCATGGTCTAGAGGCATTTTCTCCTGACGTTTCGACTATTCAAATAGTTTTTTGGTCCCAGGACATAGTCTGAAGACACAAGTGTTGCCCTAAACAGGTTTGGGTCCCATCAACGCTCAGATTGGGGAACGTTGTGTATGTTGCTGGAATTTTGTGATGAAATGAACAAACGATATAAAAACCTAAAATAGATATTGTTTAAAAATCTATGCATGAAATATTATAACCATAAGAGTCAATACCCATAAAAATGGCTTGTTCCACTTAAAAAAAGAACTCCCAGAAGCCGTTATGAACCATTAAATGCTATAAAATGCTGAATATGTTTTGGACTCTGAGGAAACTGAAATTTTTACATTTGAAATTAATGCCACTTAGGCCAAGTGAACCTATAAAACTCATAAGGAACTTAGAAAGTAAAGCTGATACACATTACATAGAAAATACAGTATGAAGTCTTTTGGAAGAAATAACCTTCCACAGGTAAAAAAAAATAAGAAAGCTCCAAAAAGTGAGTAAGAAGAAATATTTTGCAGAGAGTTAACAGTAACAAATGAAACACATTTAGAGACTTCCTTTTGGTATAACAATTTATAGAACCATCGCATTTATCCAAACAGAGATCTGATTTCCTATGGAACTTATGGGGCAATATTATGGCAAACATGCATTTCAGCAGTAACAGGGCACTAACTTTGCTCTTAATGAAAAAAAATATTGGTAGTTATCTCAATGCCTCTCAAAGTCTTATATACAAAATGAAATGGTACTGTTCTCAATACAGATTTCACTGATGCAAAATCATACACTCAGGACCTCTCTTTTTGTGTTTTCAGCTCTGCTGCCTTGCTTTCACTGATGTTGCTACTGTATGGGTTGGATGCACATATAAGTCATGTCTATACAGGCAAAATACAACAGACTCCCCTTGCAACTGATGCGGGGGGTCCACATAACATATGGCTGGATACGAAATTTACTCTGTAGCTTTGGTAAATGTTTCTGGTGTTTTTGAGATGTGGACAGCCCAACCTACAAACCCTTCATAAGACTACATTTCAGTGTCGTCGAATGCTTCTGCCCCAGTTGAACCATGGAGCCCCATGTTGCCCATCAGATAACATAGACTCACTTTCAGCGGGGCTCCATGGCTCAACTGGGGTGCAAAAGTCCTACAATGCTGCACTGGTAACACAGGAGCCTCTTCATATTTCATTAGGAACAATGGGGCTTGTGCGAGGGGAAGCCATGCAGCAATGCTTCCCCATGTGTGATGGGAAAGCGTCACTGTCAGTGAGACGGGGTACACGGTGTGGGGATTGTCCCATTGCCCTGCCAATTTGCCACAGAGGCTGGCAAATCAGAATGGGGAACCTCATCAATGTGATTAGGTCCCTTGTGTCAAATAGATCAACTGCTGTGTCACCAGCCTAAAGCAGTTCCTAACAGATGTTTGCTAGCAACATGGCCTCTGCTGGTCACATGGGTGGGAACCTGGCTATAAACTCATCAGAAGCAAGATCGCCAACAAGCCTCTGTGACTCTTGGCCTAGCCAATCCAGGATATCAAAATTGATTCAGGAATGCTTCCTTGTTGCATTGGGACAACTCTGCAGCACAGTACTCTAGATGATTTTGGAAAGTATAGATGCAGACAAAGGACACATCTACTAATTATCCTGAAGGGTCGTTGAATTAGCTCTGTGGCGACTGCATAATGCATAGAGCTGATTTGGGATAACACATCTCATGGCCATTGAATGAGAACTCCAACCATGCAGCAAACGGTGACTTCGGGAGCATATAAACAGTTGGGTTGGTTTCAAGATGGAACCATCCACAACTCTACATGGCTGACCCATATTCCAAGGGTTTGGGAGGCCTGGAGACATGGGATGGCACTCCTCCCTCTTTCCATTCTCATTGTAGTGGTGTTCAGTAGGCACAATATGGTTGGTGTCCATCACTTGTTGCCTGGAAATGGGGAGGGGGGAAGGGGGTGGTTCCTCCTCTTCTCCCTCTCTTTTTCCTCATTGCTCCCACATCCCGGACGAGTTATCATACCAGTGCTCACTAGCCACTCATATTATGGCAACAGGAGGTGGTTGGTTGGTACTCCTTCCTGCCTTTGCAATGGCCAGGTGGGCTGGTGGTTAAAACCAAAACTTCGGATCAGTCCCAGGACAAAAGGTCAGTTAGATGTATGCCTATTCATGTTTAGTGGGATCCAGTGAAATTATCATTACTTTACACATGACCAAATTTACATGTGTCCATTATTTTTACTGCATATCTTAGTACATTTTTCCAACAGAAACATGGGATACTGTTTTCCAGCAACTTCAATCAGCAGGAGGAAAATCACAAAGTTGAATGCTCCTTAAAAAGGGAACTACTTATTTTGCAAGTTAGAGATCAGATTAACATTGATATATGTTTCTAATACATTAGGTTGTCATTCTTTCCAAGGTAAATCATTCTAATATAGAACTGTCTCCAGCAGCTATAAAATGGAACTGTCCAGAAGAAACGCCATCGAAATTCTACACATACAGCACTAGACATGTTTTTAACTCTTGTTAGTTTGGGTTGCATCTCTTTGTTTAATGCTTGATACATGCAAAAATATCTAAAACATATTAACTTTGAAAGAAGTGTACCATATGTTAAAAAAATAGATAAATTTATACTCTACACTTCTTTCATTATATAGGGTTGGAAATACAAGTCTACTTACGCCAGTGGAGATTCACTGTGAGTCATACGATCATAACCCAAGCATGAGCATTGAATGTTTGGGATCCATCATTATGGAGAGTTGGGAGGTGCACAACAGAGCAACATTAGTATGAGAAATTAACGAAAACCCAAATGGAATGTGTGAAGGGGAAAAAGAGAGAAGAAACCATTATCAATAAAAGGAGCACAAGGGAGCCAACTAACACATTAGCAAATGGCAGAAGCTTGCTGGTCATCAGCTTTAGGCAAGTTGTTAAACATATAGCAGCAATGTTGTTGTTCCGTGGCCTTAAGTACACTTAATGTTTTTTTACTTCACACATAAAGTAATAGTAAGAGATGATACAGCAAGATAACTGTACATAAATACCAAATATAACCAGTTGAGGATTGGTTATATAAATAGATAAATATCCTAAATCCAATGCTATTCAAAGTGGTAGCCTATGGATGAATGCTGGTCCACAAGCTATCAGCTATTTTCTCTGGCAAGCTATCAGAAAAGAAAATATGATCGTAATGTGGCACAGACATAGCAATCGACATGTTGCTGCAACAGAGATAAACATGGCAGTCTACCACATCAGATTATTTGGGAAGCACTGTCCTAATCATCTATCTGGCTTCTGGTAAAACATTTCCAATTTCACATATGAATATGGAATGAACATGGAATGTATTAGGTGTGTGTGTTTCTTGTGTGTAAGGGGGAAGCGAAAGAGAAGTGGGGAGAGATTTATGCAACATTCCCAAGCTTGATACCAGCAGTTCAATGTCACATTTGGTTTTCATTTTTGGTCAAATGATGCAATTCTAAATGACACTGCTACTTAATTCAGGAAACAAATATGTTTGTTTTATCAAAGCATATTTCGCCCTGTGCTGGGAAATGCTTTGCAGTATTCTACTAACACATGGGAGAAATTGGGTACTGTGGTTCCTGAAATCATAATCTGCTCTTTTCCATATACGAGGGGTAATTTTTAAGTAAGGTCCGTTTTGTTGTAGATACTAGTAGTTCACACGCATACCGCAATGAGCACATGCGTCGTGTACCGGCATGCCTCGGGAACAACTGTGCTCAGTTTCCGCTCTGTAGCTAACCTGTACGGTTCTGTTCTGTGCTTTAAAAATGTTTAAGACTATCAACTCACTCGCTGCATGTGAGGTTCACTCAGTGATACGGTTTTTGTCAGCAAGGAACCCGCCTGCTGCAGAAATCCATCGACAGATTTGTGAAGTGTACGGTGATACTGTTATGAGTGAAAGCAAAGTGCGTAAGTGGGTATGACAATTCAAAGATGGCCGTGACAACGTCCATGATGAGGACCGCTCCGGTCGCCCTTCTTTGATTACAGACGGCAGTGAACTTTTGGTTATCGGAGCAGGCGGCAAGTTTTTATGAAGAGGGTATTTTAAAATTGGTTCAGAGGTATGATAAGTGTTTGAACAAACTTGGCAACTATGTCGAAAAATAGAGTGAAGTATGTACTTTCTAAAAATAAATTTACTTTTTTGAAATAAGCTTTCATTGTGTACTTATGTTCCAATGGACCTTACTTAAAAAATACCCCTCGTATATCAAGATCCCAAAATGGATCTTCCTCTACAATGGATGGAAGAATAATTGGGCAGTGTGCACCAGAATGTAAATTGGAATAAGCTTGCACATCCCTTGCCTCCCAAAATGAATTTATATATGTAAAAAAGGTTATATGTTATGTGCATATTTGTATTTATGTGGAGGGGGTTGTTGTCTAGCAATATATTTGTATATGTTAAAAAGCAGAATCCAATGGAAACATGAGAGTCAACGCCGAATTGGAACAAGAAAAAATCAGCAACCACCAATGCCTTTACAATACCAGTGAGAACTGCACTTCATCTGCCACATCTGTTATATAATACACAAATTAAAACATAAGGAAGAATGTTAAAAATGGTTTGTTTTCCTGGCTTAGCTTCGGTTTTCTATGTCAAAAAACAAAACGCTTTGTGTTATGGGTTTCTGTGAATTGTAACCAATGGGAATTCATCTGAAAACATTGAAATTGAAAATAACAATCTTTCACTGCCATAATTATAGAAAAACTTTGTGTTCAACTTTATGAAGTACCACTCTTTATGTGGCACTGTCATGGATACAGTCTGAATCTTTAATCACAGTTTAAAAGACACACCCTTCTTTCTCTTTATAAACACGATCTAAAGACTGCCTCGTGCAATTTTTTTAAAAAAGATATTCATTCATACTTCCCTCTTTCCATAAACGTGGATTATTGTCGTGCTTTCTTCTGATTTTTTTTCTAGCACAATATATTTGGAACCATGTTCTATGACAGGCTTTATAACAATATAGCACTGTACATCATCATCATCATTTATATTTATATCCACCTTTCTCCCCATGGGGACTCAAGGAGCCTAACAACCCCACACTTTAGTCAAGTTTAGTCAAGTTATACAAAAGTTAAAAAAAACATTTGAATAGTAACAATATGGTAAAATAGATTAAAATATAATAAATACACCTTTAATACCTTTAAAATTCAGTCTTCCCCCATCCCACCAACAACCTCCCCAAAGCCTGCCCCTTATCCTCCCCAAATGCCTGAGATGTAAGTTTTTGATTCTCTGATAGCCATATGCAGGAATAAGAGCTTTCTGGTGCTTTCTTCCTGAGGGGCAAACTTTTGAGAGTTTCTGAAAATTTTGAATGCCTTTTAAGGCATTTTCAGAGTCTGAGAAGCTCACCCATGAATGATTTAATGGAAGATTGAACTTTGCACACAGATGCTCCTAGAGCTTTGAAAAGTTTACATAGGTGATTTGGGTGATAGTGGTTACCTAATTAACATCCACAAGTATGATAGAAAGCTACCATTACTCGTTTGGCATGAAGTACATCTATACATCGATTACAGTCTTAGAACTATCTATTTTTGCAGATATGAGGGGTGGTGGTGGTGGTGGTGAAACCTATGAGTTCAGTCTTTAGTCTTGAGGAAGGATAGATACGATAGGAATGTGATAAATAAATAAAAGGACTATACACTTATAATTTCAATCAATACTTCTGTTCCAGTTTCCTAGAATGTTTCATTCCAACGGACTGCTCAAAGCAACAGGATGAAGGTAGGGAGAGACCATGTGGCATGCAGTGGGGGACTGGTTGATGTACACAAAGAAACCATCTTACCCAGCAAGTTCACCGCCCTGGGCCTGAGCCTGTCCTGCAATGGCATCCATGATAGCGTCCTGAGAATACATGCTGATTGGGGTGTTATACTGGGCATGAATGATGGTGGCCTTGCCACCTGGCCCTTTCACCTCAATGGGCTTGTGTGTCGACAGGGCAGAATCCTTCAGGACGTTGGGGTTGAAACGCTCCACGTACTCGGTGCTGGGATGGGTGGAGGGGAGGAAGAGTGAAGTTTCAGAAAAGTAGGGAAGAAAAGGAGATCATGGCACAGAGGCGATACCAAAAAGACAGGAAGATGCAAGTGCAGTGGATCATCCATAGGCATCAGCATAAATATGCAAAGCATCGGGTCAGACAAATGCCAAGCATTTAAAGTAGCACCTAAAAGGACAAGGGTAACAACTGGCACAGAGAATGCAGTGGATGTTCTTGTCCCCAAGGAAAGAAATATGATACAATAAGGACACTTCCATTCTTATCAGTTTTGGATAAAATCTATGTGTACCGATTTGTCATGGACAATGAATACTTCTTTCCCTTCAGCTTGTGTGTTTGAGGAAAAGATACTGCAACACAATGTTTTGTATCTGAGAAAATAAGATTTTTCCTCAGATAACCTGTCCGAACGGCTTACCTGTCCCAGTTTACCTGTCCGAACAGATTCTCCCCTACGTAGCATCAAGGTTGTTAAGATCTTCTGGAGGGGCCCTGCTTTTGGAAGGAGTTTGGTAGTGCTGGAAGGAGTGTGATGGCGTTGAAAGGAGTTTGGTGGTGTTGGAAGGTTGTGAGGGTATTGGAGTTCTGAAAAGCTTGTGGTTTGAGGAGAAGAATTGGACTCTGTATATATGTTTTTGTATAAACTCTTCTACAAGACAAACACTTAAGTTTGCTCCTTGGTCGGAGGGAGAAAGTCTCCACATCTCTGTGTGTCTACACATTAATCTTCATCATGACAAGAGGCACCCTGTTCTGACTTTGGCAGAGAATTCCACATGACCAGGAAGGTGGCGGAGATATTGGTTGGTATGAGAATGGTGAACCCCTGCATCAAAGAAGGAGATATCACCAGGTCACGCAAACATTACTGCTGATGTCAAAATGTGGCATCCATACAATCAGAAAGGAGGAGGGAGTATTACCACTGCTTTCTTCCAGGTCATGTAAACACTCTATTTTGATGTCAACAGAGGTGGCTGCAATAACCAGGTGCTCTCATGGAGCTCTGTGGTCTGTTAGTAGTAGTGGCGGCAACAATGCAGCCATGATCCATCCCCTTTTCCCTGCACTAATGAGTTCAGAAAAGGAACGATGGTGCTGGTGTCCCATCTGAACAGCAGATCAGGCTGAATCGGCTCTGATCCAATTGTCCAGGCTGCTCTGAAGCCATGGGATACTTTGAAATTGCCACCATACTTTGATTTTGCCACAAAGCCTAGAATACTCATTGGAAAAAGTTGTGCATCATGAAGATAACCAGCCTTCCATGTGTGATGAGTCTGAGAGTTTTAGCATGTGAAGACAAGTTCTTGGTTAGCAAAAGGTGCTTCCAGATAAACAACTCTGATACTGTTCCATTATCCGGGCGGACTCCAAAAGGGGGCCTAGACCAGTGGTTCTCAACCTGGGGTCCCCAGATGTTTTTGGCCTACAACTCCCAGAAATCCCAGCCAGTTTACCAGCTGTTAAGATTTCTGGGAGTTGAAGGCCAAAAACATCTGGGGACCCCAGGTTGAGAACCACTGGCCTAGACAAAGAAGGATCATCCATTTTCTGGAGGAGGGAGTTGAAGGAGAAAAACAATTTCCCCCATTTTTGCTGATTATTCCCCCCTTTCCCATATCATAAATGATAGTTGCTTCCACAACGGTGACATGGGTGGGAAGAATAACAGAAAACGGGAAAATTGTTTTATTTCTTCAAACCCATTTCCCTTGTAAAATGGACTATCTTTCTTTGTCTAGCACCCTCTTGTGGCCTCCACCCGGATTATGAAACAGTACCGCAACTCCTAAATGGTCCAAAATGTTACCAGTTCAGATACGGTTCAGATACATTTGACTTTTTATTCTGAACAGTATTTTTGTTATTGTGGGGGGTCGATACAGCACATAGTGTTGACAGTAAGAAAAGAAGACAGAATAGGTGGAGGTGGGAACAGAAGATGACGACAAATAAATAGACTTTAACATTGAGATCTACCACAAAATCCTGAGACTGAGTCCAGGCAAAAGAATGAATAACAGCTTCTCTGGAAGTGCCCAGGCTCAGGAACCTACAAACATACTAGATAGTTATGAATTAGTTTAAGAGTTAGTCCGAACTCTGGCTATGAAAAGACAATGGATGGGATCCGCTGTAAGAGAGAAAAAGAAGAGGATCCAATCTAGTCACTCCATGAGCGAAAGCACTTTTATTCATGAAAGGAGAGTTGCATATATGGAAAGATACAACTCTCTTCTCTCTCTCCCTTCATAAAAAAGCTGATGCCCCTTTGAAAAAAAAATATATCAATAGGTATAACTTTTCCTGTTAATGCTGTAATGTGAGAGAAGGAGCTGTGTATGGAACATCCGCATTCTTCAGAACTGTTGTAGGACTGGGAATCTCCATGATAAAAGGTTATTCATGATGGACAGAAAATTCATAACAGTAGATACAATTACTCAAACAAAGCACGGCATGCACAGATCTTGGAGGGAACAGAAACCCACCATGACATGAGCACATCAACATGCATAACAAACTAAGTAAGGATTGCCTTTAAGCTAATTCTCAAGTTAGCCTCTTGATAAGGTACCTCATGAATAGAAGCCTCCACACACTGCTTTTGTTAGCTACTACAGGGACCCATGGGTGGGATGTTTACTCTTAGCCCAAACAGACATGCTCCCATAAAAAAAAGATAAAAAAGAACCCTGCTATCCACTTACCAAAGGCTACAAGGAGCAGAGGCGGCCCTAGGTAATTTTCAATGGTAAGCAAACAGTACTTTGGCGCCCCCACCCCCAACCAATCATTGATATATATTTTCTGTTCGTCATGGGAGTTCTGTGTGCCATATTTGGTTCAATTCCATCATTGGTGGAGTTCAGAATGCTCTTTGATTGTAGGTGAACTATACATCCCAGTAACTACAACTCGCATATGTCAAGGTCTATTTTCCCCCAAGAGCGCCTCAAGAGCATCCCTGGGCAAAATCAACTATACTGTGAGTGCTTACTTTGCGTAATGGGTTGAGCCGCCCCTGACAAGGAGTAGTGTATATTACTAGAGATAGCTGCAGAGTTTTCCTGCAGCTATCTCAGGAAAACTCTTGGACAGCCACTATATATAGGTCTTCTGGCAAACATTTGTATGTACCCAAGAAATCTTTCCAGGCAAAATAGTACCTTTCCAGTAACATTAAAGAAAATATCAGATATATAAGGAAGATGAGGAGAACTATTTTCAGAACAACTACCCGTTGAATACATTAGTAGCATTTTACGCCTGTCATATCAACGAGCTCTTTTGAAATACATTCCACTTGCAAGCACACACAGCAGGAGCAAACAGGCTCAACATGCTACCCCCAAGGAAGGGGGAAATGGCCAAGCATGTAACACTGACACACTGCTTAATACTAACTTGGCAACAGTGTTGGCTATAACCTGGGGGAGAAAGAAAGAAACAACAACAAAAATCAGACCAAGAGATTTGTGCTGCTTTTTGGTTTTGTAAAAAAACATGAGGCTAGTAGGTATTAACCAGGATTTATACAGCTTTTGCAAACTCTTCTACAAATGGGAACAGAAAGCAACTTTACGTCCAAAACCACACGCTGTGATTAAGAGAGGGAATATACAAGGATTATAATTTATCCACTGGGATTTACGGAAGTACTGTGACATTTTGCTTCACCTTTGACAACAAGTTCTTGCTACTGTGTTTAGCTAGGAAAGGTTCTCTTGGTGACAAAGCAAAAATACAGGATTCGTTAGAAATTGCCGCATCTATCCGAAGCAGGAGATGAATCAACGTTTACCGCAGATGCTAAACTGTCTGGGATTAAGTGCTATTCTTTCTCACACATTACTCTTCTCCCATGGTGAGCAGCTAGGACCAGATGTACTGCTTATTGTTGGCCCTTGAACAACCATCGCAAGGAAATATAAACACATGCAAACTGCATTAAGTCACTGGGTTATTGTAAGTTTTTTCAGGCTATATGGCCATGGTCTAGAGGCATTCTCTCCTGACGTTTCGCCTGCATCTATGGCAAGCATCCTCAGAGGTTGTGAGGTCTGTTGGAACTGGGAAAAGGGTTTATATATCTGTGGAATGACCAGGGTGAGACAAAGGACTCTTGTCTGCTGGAGCTAGGTGTGAATGTTTCAACTGACCACCTTGATTAGCATAATGGCCTGACTGTGCCTGGAGCAAACTTTTGTTGAGAGGTAATTAGATGTCCCTGCCTGCTTCCTCTCTGTTGTTGTGCTGTTGCAATTTTAGAGTTTTTAATACTGGTAGCCAGATTTTGTTCATTTTCATGGTTTCCTCCTTTCTGTTGAAATTGTCCACATGCTTGTGTATTTCAATTGCTTCTCTGTGTAGTCTGACATGGTGGTTGTGAGAGTGGTCCAGCATTTCTGTGTTCTCAAATAAAATACTGTGTCCAGGTTGGTTCATAGTTCCAACAGACCTCGCTACCTCTGAGGATGCTTGCCATAGATGCAGGCGAAGCGTCAGGAGAGAATGCCTCTAGACCATGGACATATAGCCCGAAAAAACCTACAACAACCCAGTGATTCTGGCCATGAAAGCCTTCGACAATGCATTAAGTCAGCCTGCAGAGTTGTGCCGCACTCTGGCATCACACCATTCTATAGTAGCCAGAAGAGGGATATGAAGTTATAAAATGACAAGTCTTAGTATAACCTTTGGGTTCCATAAATAAAATTGGTAGTTAAAGAACAAAGTTTCAATAGGAACACAGCTGGGTATAGTAGAAATATATTTTTTCTTCCCAGAAACTGGGTTCATCTGGTGAAAGGGACTGGCCTGGTGAAGAGGATTCCATTAATATTTGTTGATGTACGGATTTATGTATGCCATGAACTCTGTATTGATTTGATATTAATATTGAAATACAGCAATTAAAAGCAAATTAAGACAAATAAAGGCAAACTGAACTCATCTGATTCACATTCTGGAAAAAAGGTATGTCAAACTGTGCCTCCGAATCAGACCTTAAAACGTGGGCAACTTTATGTGATATTACCAAGTCCTTAATGTTATTGGATCCATGACTTCCGGAACTTTGTGGTAACAAACGTAGTGGGAACAAAATGAAATAATGTGCTCTGACCACAGAGATGGCCCTAGGTAATTTTCAACGTTAAGCAAACAGTATTTTGGTCCCCCCCCCGCCCTCAACCAATCACTGATATATATTTTCTGTTCATCGTGGGAGTTCTGTGTGCCATATTTGGTTCAGTTCCATCATTGGTGGAGTTCAGAATGCTCTTTGATTGTAGGTGAGCTATACATCCCGGTAACTACAACTCACATATGTCAAGGTCTATTTTCCCCCAAGAGTGCCTCAAGAGCGCCCCGGGCAAAATCAACTATACTGCAAATGCTTACTTTGCGTAATGGGTTGAGCCGCCCATCTGACCATTAGGTACCAAACAGAGGTCTGGATCTGGGACTAACTAAAGATCTTGAGCTGTTTATAAAGGAAATCTAAATGGAAAGCATTGCAGTAGTCCCATCAGGAATGTTTTTATATTCAAGCTGGCATCCTGTTGGTCAGCCCAAATTAGAATAGACCTGTTCTACCAATTTTTCAGTATCTAGCTAAATGGAACACATTCAATGGCTTACTCTAGTCAATAATAAAGAGAATTAAGGCCAAAATGGGTCTTATCCAGGATTGGTAAAGATACCAAGATGTTTGTTTATAAAGCTATTGTCCTTCCAACTCTGTTGTATGCCTGTGAAACATGGACCATCTCCCTCAACTTCTGGAAAGATTCCGTCAACCTCACAACCTCTGAGGATGCTTACCACAGATGCAGGCGAAACATCAGGAGGGAATGCTTCTAGAGCAGTAGTTCTCAACCTGGGGTCCCCAGATGTTTTTGGCCACCAACTCCCAGAAATCCCAGCCAGTTTACCAGCTGTTAGGATTTCTGGGAATTGAAGGCCAAAAACATCTGGGGACCCCAGGTTAAGAACCACTGTTCTAGAGCATGGTCATACAGCCCGAAAAACATACAACTCAGATTCTGTCAGCGTTGCCTCTGAAAAATCCTGCAAATCTCTTGGAGAAACAGGCAGACAAATATCAGTATTCTGGAAGAACCAAAGATCACTGGCATCGAAGCAACGATCCTCTGTACTCAACTTTGAGATTGGCCATGTTGTCTGAATGCCTGATGACAGCCTCTCAAAGCAGTTCCTTTACTTTCATCTCAAGAATGGAAAATGGATAGCAAAAGAGATTTAAGGATGCATTTAAAGCCAAGCTAAAAAAATGTGGCATAAACATCGAGAACTACGAAGCCCTGACCCTCGCCCATTCTAACTGGAGGTCTGGTGATACCAACAGTGCTGTGAATTTTGAAGAAGTGCAAATAGAGGGCAAAAGGGAGAAATGTGACAAGAAAGACGCTGTTGATCCAGAAGAGGTCATAGAATCATAGAATCATAGAATCAAAGAGTTGGAAGAGACCTCATGGGCCATCCAGTCCAACCCCCTGCCAAGAAGCAGGAATATTGCATTCAAATCACCATCCAGCCTCTGTTTAAAAGCTTCCAAAGAAGGAGCCTCCACCACACTCTGGGGCAGAGAGTTCCACTGCTGAACGGCTCTCACAGTCAGGAAGTTCTTCCTCATGTTCAGATGGAATCTCCTCTCTTGTAGTTTGAAGCCATTGTTCTGCGTCCTAGTCTCCAAGGAAGCAGAAAACAAGCTTGCTCCCTCCTCCCTGTGGCTTCCTCTCACATATTTATACATGGCTATCATATCTCCTCTCAGCCTTCTCTTCTTCAGGCTAAACATGCCCAGCTCCTTAAGCCGCTCCTCCTAGGGCTTGTTCTCCAGACCCTTGATCATTTTAGTCGCCCTCCTCTGGACACATTCCAGCTTGTCAATATCTCTCTTGAATTGTGGTGCCCAGAATTGGACACAATATTCCAGGTGTGGTCTAACCAAAGCAGAATAGAGGGGTAGCATGACTTCCCTAGATCTAGACAGTATGCTCCTATTGATGCAGGCCAAAATCCCATTGGCTTTTTTTGCCGCCACATCACATTGTTGGCTCATGTCTCTACAGTTTCTTATGGAATCACCACCAAGACTCTATCCTCGGAAGACAATCATACTCAGCTAGAAGTGATCACCTATGACTATCGGAGATAGATCATAATTAATGCACTATTTAATTTTGTTTTACCTTGTTTAGCCATCCATTTCAGAGTTGATGCCAGGCAATTTTTTTGCCTATTACACTATGGAACAGAGAGGCATGCCTGAGTATCAATATATAGTGATAACCCCTCTGCTAAACTCCCCACTGATTCATTCCAGCAATTTTAGGTAGACACTGAAAACAAGAAAGAGATCATCTTGTTTTGCCTGCAGAACAAAGGCTCTTAGGTAGAATAGCAGTCTCATAGCACCATCTGCTGGGGCTGAGCAAGAATAAATGCAATCACTCAGAAGTAATGCCTCATAGATCAATTCTGACAGATGGCCCCAACAGGATACCAGGAAGGGCAGCCCAGCTTTATTCCAGACTGGGCTAGAAGCCAAACTGGAATGGATGCAAATAATCCAATCACTCCCCCAGTTGGAAATATCATGATTACTAACCCAAGGGTTTGACGTAGTCTGTTATGCACTGTTGTAGAATGCCAGCACATTACCCCCAGAACTAAATCCAAGTACAGTTGTTTCGTTGTCGTTTTCAGAGTCTTTCTTCTGACTAATTCACATCTTGTAGAGCAGTAAATGTGTTTTTAACTAGGGCCCCTTCTACACAGCTGTATAAAATCCACATTGAACTGGATAATATGACAGTGTGGACTCAGATAATCCAGTTCAAAGCAGATATTGTGGATTATTAGCCTTAATATTCTGGGTTATATTCTGTGTGGGGAGCCCTTGGTTTACTTACTTATGCGATCCCTCATTGGCCGAGTAGGATAGTCTTCCAGGATCAGTATTCTTGTGGATCCTTAGGTGACTGTGGAGCTCTACTCTTGACCTGCATATGTTCTCCCACAGTGAGGGCATTGGTTTCCAGGTGGAAGGCAGTCTCGGTCGAGATTGGCTTGATGCACCTTCCTCTTGGCACATTTCTCTCTTTCACCCTCCATTCGTGCTTCTTCAAATTCTGCAGCACTGCTGGTCACAGCTGACCTCGAGTGGAGCACTCAAGGGCCAGGGCTTCCCAGTTCTCAGTGTCTATGCCAGAGTTATTAAGGTTGGCTTTGAGCCCATCTTTAAATCTCTTTTCCTGTCCACCAACATTCCCTTTCTTCTAAGTAAGTAAGTAAATCATTTATTTTGGTCATTGACCAGCACAGGAAATAGAGTCACATTTTCATACGAACTTGGTATGTTTGGTACATTAAAACTATAAATATAACTACTGAAGCACAA